CTTTGAGGCTCAACAAATTATGATAAGAAATGCCCGCAAAGCTGAAGCAGCTAGAGCACGCTATCAAAAGATGTCGCCAGAGCAGCGAAAGGTATACGGTTTCTCTATGTAGACAAAATGAATCGCGCTGCAAACTTAGTCTTTTATAGGAGTACAATATGCGTCGAGCACAAGCGAAAAAATTGAGAGCCATGAGTCGTGAGAATCGAGGTCTTGGAAACTCGAATTGTTCGCAGGGTAAGGCGTAACTTTTCCCAGAAATTATTGCAAACTGCTTTTTGTAGTTTCCGGTGAAATGGGTGATTCTTCCGGTATGAGCTCTTCATTTGAAGCTGGCAATACAATGTCTTTGCTTGATTCCAGCGAAATGTCTTCTGCAATGGAACATCTTAATAATAATTCACAGGTGATAATTTTTGTTCGGTATCTGATGTCTCTAGCTACAAAGTTTGCAGATGTCTCATTCTGCGGATGATATTTTTGAACAAATGGAACGAGAGGTGATCAAGAGGACAAAACAAGTAAGCATTGTTGAATATCTTTTTTTGGCTAAGAATTTATTTGAGAGTTATCAGGTGATACCGTTCGCGGCAGCCGTACAATGAGTTTCTAGATGGTTTTTTCAGAAAAATATGCAAGTCTAATGATGCGTTTTCTAGGCGCACATGGCTTTGGCTCGCCAACAGCAACAATCACAAACAGCGAATCGTTTCTCCTCTTCGGTGGAACAGCACATGATCGATGGAGATACTGTTCTCATCACGAATGATGGTCATATAGTTGACGACAAGTGCTTTGTGCAGGTACCAATCCAAATTTCATTCCACTTTTGCTCGCCATGTGTGATTACTATTCAAGCCATCGCAACTAATTGACGAAAAGGCGCTTCATGATATGTTGCTTACTGGTTTGGATGCTAATGGGCAACCCGTAGAATTGCGGACAGTTGATGGAACGTTGATTAGAGGCGAAGAGCAATTGCGGTGTGTATCTTGTTTTTCTTTTTTTGTTTACTCCGTTTCGCCTATAACAATTTTATAAATTTAGGGCTATAACAAACGGCCAGCCTTTCCTCATACATCCACAACCATTGCCTATTTCAAGTGTTGACGAACAAGGGAAGGCGTTAACGTTTGCAAATGCCCAGGATCAAGTGAGATTGAGATTGCATAATCTGCACGGTTTGAATCTTCATAGCTATTGCGGTTCAGATAGAACTTGCTCCTTCCTCGTCTTCTATGGTTTTGGAGCCGTCAAATGCTCTCTATGCTTCGCATGAAATTGTCATTGACGACATGGTGAGTAACTCTTTTTCGTTTATATCATCTTCTTTGACAAAAAAGGAAACAAAACGTCAAATATAAATATCAAAAGTTGTACAAATGTTTGGCATTATATATATATA